ATAGTTCTCGACTCAGCCCGAATGAGGGCGGTAGTCGCGCCAGATTGTGCACCCTCTACGAGGCGGTTCTATGCCCTTAAATGGTCTGTCTTCTCCACCTGGTGTATGACCCGCAGCGCAGACCCAATTTCCTGCGACATATCTCTGATATTGTCCTTCCTGGGTGGGCTCAGGCGGGCTGTGCCGCCATTGGTTCATTTTTAATACACTGCACGAACCAATGGCAGTGCAGTTTCACTGCATGATTGAAAAAGGCTTCAGTATTTGGAGAAAAAGGAGTTTTCCCCTTAGCGTCTTAAGCAAGACGCATTACTCGTTCCCGAATCTCAGGGAACCGAGGTTACATTAGTAACCGAGTATGTTATCTGCTGTGAGACTCACTGCAGAGTCAATGTTGATAACAACTGTGGGACTCAGTGCAGGGTCAGTGTCCTCATTTGCTGTGGGACCCACTGCAGATTCAACACCCTCATCTGTTCTGGAGTTCACTGCAGAGTCAATATTGTTGTCTGCTTCCAGACTCACTGCAGAGTTGATGTTGATAACTGTGGGACTCACTGCAGGTTCAGTGTTGATAACTAGTACTGCCGCTCCCTATACGCAGAGTACGCAGTTTGCGTAGGGCACCAACTCCCAGGGGGGCACCATCCCAGTTGCTCAAAAAAAAAAAAAAAAAAACTTGTCGTGCCATTCCCCCATCCGCGCTTGCAACCGCTCGCACCTCATGTTTGCGGCTGAATGCAAATTATCATAATTGATGGATGGAAAATCTATGCCCGTAAAAAGACATCAGCAATCCTGCGCAGAGAAAAGAAAAAGAAAGAAAGAAAAAAGGTGAAAACGAAGCCCGTGCATCACTTTCAGGCACATTCATAATCCTGTGAAACTTTTTTGGCTGTTGACGTTAATAACGTGTTTTAATGTCGGAAATAATTTCACCAACAACGCATTTAATATTCTCTCTGACTTTCCATGTTCCCTTACGAAAATTAGCCATGGTTTTAACACGAATAACACCAAAAATCATCGTTCTTGTAGTCATGGTAACCATAAATTAACCATGGTTTTGTTACTTCAAATAATAATTTCCAAAAAAGAAGAAGTATTAAGATAATAATTTTTTGTGGTTATAAAAACAGACCTAAGGTAACTGTCTAGAGCTACAATTTGTAATTTGCTACTGTAAAAAGCTACTTGTAATTTGTAAATAATACAATTTATTTATTTACTTTTATATTTTATTAAAGTTCTATTTTGACCCCTATAGTAGGTTTTTTTTTTTTTTTACTTCCATAATATTTGAGGAAGGGGGGCACAACAATACAATCCTGCTTAGGGCATCCATTTGGCCAGCAGCGGCCCTGTTGATAACCATTTGACTCACTGCAGAGCAAAAGTCGGCATCTGCTGACAAACTCACTCTAGAGTCAGTGCCAACGTCTGATGATGAGCTTACTGGAGTGTCCTGCTCCAGCTGATCCTAGAAGACCTCAGAGCCACTACTGACTGGCACTTCCTGAAGATCAGGGATCTCTACAATACATAAGTCATGCAGAGAATACCAATATGAATCAAAAAAATATACTACATAAAACATTGCAGACTCAGTTTTCTCAGGGGGAATTCCCTAAACTACGTAATTTTTTATCCAAATTAAAATGATCAAAAATGTAATGTTTGGCACTTTAGAAAACTATCCTCAGATGCTGCTTAGATCAAAAATATTTAAATCAATTTAATTTATGGTCTTTAAACTGTCACTCTAAAACACTTCTTGTGATGAAAATGATTCTTTATTATATATATATATATATATATATATATATATAAAGGCCAATTAGCCAATCAGACACATCTTAAAAAGGAGAAGTCCCTCTATTTGAAGAATCATCAATCAACGTATCATCTAGAATTAACTCATGTAGTGACTCTTAAGATCTAAGTTCATAACAGAGGGATTTTACCATCAGTAAGTCTCTGGTATGTTCCCACCACAGCTCTTCTACAAAAAAAGGGGATAGAGGGCCATCTCCAAACCTCCTCCTCCTTTCTCTTTGCCTCTTTTCTCCCATCATCTACCCCACCGGCCACAGCAGGCTTTTCTCTCATTATATCATTCATTCTGAAACCAATTAATTCAAAAACAATTAACGTGTCCGACACTCATATGAGTAATATTATCCTTAAATCTAGTGATGCTTTTGCGCTCTTTTCATTACAGTAACCATCTCTGACAAGTTTGCATATTGGAGCAGCAGTTTTGAGTCTAACAGGACACTGAACTCAGAATCATACGTTTCAGACAAGAACGGAGTGTGCTGATAGAGCATGAGTGTACATAAGATTTGAGTGACGAGGAAAAGGCTAAGTTTCATTAATAGCAGAATGAAGCTTAATGACTTCGTTATAATGCATGTCATTTTGTGAATGAAAATTATTTTAGATTTAAGGCTGGTGCAAAATTGAATTGAATTGAAAAAGGTGCCCAGGCTTTCATGCGTTTCAGTGACGTTTTTTTTTTTTTTTACCTGGTTCACTGAAACGAACCGTAAAAGAAACCAAGTTGCAAAAATATGAAGTTCAAAGTCTTAGAAATGGAATCTCTAAATTCATGTAGATTTCATGAATATTTGAAAAACGGTTATACCATTTGAAACCCAAAAAATGATTGACGACTCGAAAATATATATTTAAAGCATGAATATAAATGCTCTTGTTGGGGTTTCCTATGTTTCTCACAATGGCTTCCAGCATATTTAAAATGATATTTTATAATAAATTAACTTACCTAAGAACTTTTCGTTCTTTTAAAAAACACAAAAAACAAACAAGTTTATATTTTAAAACAGAGCTGCTTCACTGCTTATTTTTGTAATGAAATTAATTAAAATTACACCAAACTACGTTCCAAATAACTTTCCCACCAAGAATTTTAGCCTTTCTATAATGTCCAGACAGTTGAACTTTAATCTCCACAAAAATAATTCAGATATTGAAAGTTAATTTAATTTATGCATTTAGCAGACGCTTTTATCCAAAGCGACTTACAGTGCATTCAGGCTATACATTTTTTACCAGTATGTAAAAAATAATGAAAATAATGAAAGTTCATCATAGAAGTGTTTTGTCACTGTATGTTTGAAATGCAACGTACTCCTGAATAGTGGTCGACCGATATATCGGCCGATATCTGCAATTTTTCAAATATCGGCATCGGCCGATAAGTTTTTCTGTTTGGCCGATGTGTTCGAGGCGGGACTTTTATTTTGACGGCGCCGAGAACAGCTGCGGCAGCGCCTGAGCACACAGTGCTTACATTCTCCCTCTTGTTCGCTGTTGTCATTCAGTTCTATCTAATAATCAGATAGAACTGTTAAACAAAGAATTTCAAATTATGCTGCGCTTTATGCATTTGCCCACTGTCATATTCATGTCATTTTCACTGTGTGCTGTATGTAAAATGAGTGTTACCTATTCCCAATGCTCACAAACTTCCCAGAATACTGAGTGCCCTGTTGGTTACAGTTACTTCCTTTTTAATTATATTTTTATTAAATATTTATTTGTGAAAAATACTGTCTTCTAGAGTACAAGTATGTTTATTTTACACGTTTATTTTTTAATCCATTTTCAAATGACTTCAAATTTCTTAAATATGAATTAAAATAAATAAAATTAAATCGGCATCGGCTGTCAAAAAACCCATATCGGTCGACCACTACTCCTGAATAATAATAATAAATAATAATAAAAAAAGTGTCGCGTCAATTGAAACATACATCACAAAATTCTGGTCCACAATCGTCTTTTACTGATTATGCAATGAACAAAACATTTAGTGTTAAGAGAATAAAGGAGAAGACTGGAGAGATAAATGAAGATTACAACAACATAAAAGAAAATGTCTTTCCTATTGAAAAACAAGATAAAAGGTCATAAAATACTTGCAGGACGTTGTCAACAGGCTGACATTCATCTGAAAGCATAATGAAAACAAATATTGTCTTACTTTAAGCATTCATGTTCCAATGCCATTATAAATACCTGTAAAACTGGGATAAATGATATATCAGCTTTGTATGATCTAAAACAGCTCATGAAGCAGAAAAAAATCGGTTACCAGCCATGATATCTCACAAGCATGAATTACCTTAAGCATCTACCACGTCGAGAACTAAACAGAAAAATGACCCCTAAAAATATAAAAATCTATTGCATAATTAAACTATAAATCTGTTTGAACCTCTTTGAGACAAAAACGATCATGAGAACACCACAACATGATTTTGAATTCCCTTTTTTGCACATTCTCTATCATTACTTTCAATGGCTCTTTTGCAATTCATCTGTACTGTTCAAGAGAAAACTTAAAGTGATGTAAGCAAATACCAACGCAATGAAAGCAACACTCACAAACATCCAACAGCGTTTAACCATTGAGCCTATGAGTGCACACAAACAGAACTCACATAACCGCTACACAACAAAACTCTGAAGAGAGAAAAAATAAATTGTTCAATCTTTCATTAAAAGTACATATTCATAAAAATGGTTTAATATATTGCATGGATTGTTGGTATTTTATCTTAAGAAAATAGATTGTGCGACTGTAGCTACAATACACACGCTTTGGGAAAGCGGATAAAACACAACGGGGGTTTTTTTTTAGGTGAAAGTAGGGAATCCAGAGGGAGTGTGGGAGATTGTACGTATCAGCATCTGTGCGTCAGTGTGCATCTAACATTAAGGCTCTTAACTCTCGTCTGGTTGCTGCCACTGTTAAGTTATATTACACTCCTCTGTCTCCAGGCCCTCTACACACTGGGATGGATGGACTCCCTCTGGGCTCCTCTTCGCATCACTGGCAGGATCAATGGAAGGTGCAGGTCATCTACTACATTTGTAAAACACTGGGGTTTATAGAGGGCTTGATATTAGGGCTTGGAATAAAAAGAGAAAAAGTGGAGGCTGATTTCAGGGATCCAGGGGGGAGTGGGCAGAGAGGGGGATGCAGTGTCCGGAATTGCTAAACACAGCAAAGCTCAGTTGACTTGGTCCAGAGCACGCAGGAGCTCCTCTCCCTGCAGCAGATGATGGCGGTCCTGCACGGGAGCGTTGACTTCGCAGTCATAACGTGTTAGCTGAGGCAGCCCGCTGCTGCCCTCTAAAGAACTGCACAACAGGCGACTGGCCACATCTGCAGAATCAGAAGGGAAAGGATGAGCTGATTTATTGACAATTGTATATACATGCTAAGATGGAACTCTAAAAAAATGTCAAGTGGTATTACCATCAAGTAAAAAGTACTAAATTATTTCCCTGCGAACTGAATACACTTTTGATACCAATTTTGTTAGTATTTTAATATAAAGCTGCTTCACTTCTATGAAGCTTTAATTGTAAAAATGTATTTTATTAGCAGAGTGCATTTAAAAATTCATAAAATACATGGCAGAGTTTTGATGGTCTCATTACTCACCAGAGGGCAGTATGAGAATGGTTTTATTTCCTCCGAGCACACTCGATCCTTTAACCTCGAAAACCTTTGCCCTCTTTCCAGGCTCTACAGCACTGTCCACACTCTGAAGCAAAGCACCCTGCAGGAAATTGGAGAGGGAGTTACATGGAAAACATTTTCAAGAATCATTTTTTACAATGTTTCACATAAGTTTTTTCTTCTTCGATTTAGGAGTTTATTCGGTAAGTGTGTTTTCATTATAGTTTATTCATTTTTACTTAATCTATTTTCATACTGACCAGTCCAACAGCCTCACAAAGTGATGTCACTTCCTCCAACTTCCTCTTACGCTGGGCATTCTGGATGGCTAACATCTTTGGAGACAGCTCTCTGGGAAATTGGAGCAACAAATACAAAATCAGATAATTTACTATTAGTGACATATAAATGAAGTCCGAATCCGAGCTCTAGGCTCATGATAGAACCATTTTTGGCTTGGCTTTAATCTACTTGCAGTTTAATACAGATCAGCCATTCGATCCCTCTACTAAAGAATTGATCTGACTGAGATTGCCAGCAGGAAGTCATGCCAGTGAGAGCTCTACCTGTTGTTGAGCTGATTGCTGCTCTGTGGGGCGGGGGACCGAGCAGGAGAAACATCCCGACTGCCACTGAAGGGTGAGACAGTGGCACTGCACACCTCCTGTAGCAGGTGCAGGGGTGAAGGGGCCCGTGATGATGGCCCCTGCTTCACTACGCTGCTGGAGGAAGAGGCTGGAGACGCAGGGGAGGGTAAGGGCTGGAACAGGGAGCTCATGGCTGACACAGAGTGAGGGCCAGAGGGGAGCGGATCCAGCGGAGAGGGGATATGCAGCTGGAAGTCATCATCCATTGGGATGTACGGAGCCAGCATCTCTAGGTCGAGATCCTCCATGGCCTAGAAGTCACAGAAATATGTCTTGTGAAATTCATGCAACGCAATAATGACCACAGAGAGAGATATTTCAGATAAAGGGTTACCTGGGAGCTAAAAGGGGTCTTTGCCTCGGTATCAATAGCAAACAGTTTCTCAACCAGGTCCAGTTTGAATTCAGAACTGATGTCTGAATCTACTTGGAAACAGTAATCCATGGGGCTGTTGGGCTAAGAGAAAAAAAAATACACACTTGAACCAAGTCACACAGGATCTCATTAACCATTAAAAAGGAGCCGACTAAGAATAGCAGCTAAAAAAAGCAAGCGTTTAATGAGTATTTACCCCCGAGGAGCCCAGTCCAGATGTGGAAGGTGTGTTTGTGGAGTCTGAGGCAGAGCTGAAAGGGAAGTCCTCCACTCCGGTCTCTAGTTTGTTCAGAACTGGGGTGGAGTCAATGGGTGTCAGAGGAGACAGACTGATGGGCAGCTTCTCGCTGCTGGAGGGCAGCATGACATCATTGTAGAGGGGCACCTCCTTCAGCAGCTGCATGTCAGAATCTGGAGGAAATTAAATACTGTTAAATTATTATTGGTAGCACACCAAGAAATTGTGTGTATATTTATCATTTATTTCAGAAACTAAGATTATGTATCCATATTTCTCATATAACAGTCTCGGAGGATTAGTGAATGCCTTGAATATGTTTGCAGTCTTTATAAGATTATAAAGTTGCCGAGGGATTGCGTTATATATATTAAGGTACACTCCAAAGTTTTGGGGCCAGTAAGAATTTCTTTTTTTGGGGGGTGGGGGAGAACAATTTAATACTTTTATTCAGCAAGGATGCATTAAATTGATTAAAAGTGACTGTTAAGACTTTTACATTGTTACTAAAGATTTCGATTTCAAATAAAATGCTGTTTGTCTGAACTTACTACTCAAAGAATCCTAAATTAAATTAAAGCTGCAAGCAGCGATGAACGGGCCCTCGCACCCGGGCTCACCGCCAGCGGGCGGCTTTAGTAAAACAGTCAAC